CTCCAGATGTTTCATATCTTTTTTACGGTATATATTTTATATCTTCTTCTGAACAAGTTTGTGCTTGCTAAACATGATTTGAAAAAGTGATTTATTTTACTTTACTTCATAAAGAACCACTCTCTCTCTCATTCTGTATTCATGTGTGAAAAATTTTAATGTTTATCCATGAAAAAATATTTCTGGAGGGCCACTTATACTATACATAAATGGCCTAAGGAAAAGCTAAGAATTTATGAAAAAAAAATAATAAAAAGCTCAAAAAAAGGCTAACTGATTTGAAGGGAAATAAATAAAACATTTAATATCAAATGATTTTGATAATTTACAGCAACAAAAACAAAATACTGCAAACCACAAATATATTAAACCTGTGTAAAGTGGTGTAATGGCTACATCTCAGTAGAGTCAGTAACTCTAATACATCTTCATTCATTCTTACGTCTGCTGTTTTAATTCATCCAAACACAATGACACATTGTGGTTTAAGTTCATTAGTTCAATTTGTTAGTGTTGGCATGTAGTTTATCCATGTTTTTTTATTTTTATTATAACTCATTTGTCTCTTTTGGTGTATAAAATGATAAACTTCTTGTTGATTTTACTGGTTCCAACCATCTCCAGATAGAAAGGAGAATTTGAGTTGTTTTATAGGTTTCTTTTATAGAAAACTATAATATTTAGATTAACATTTTCTTTTTACAATTATTTTTTTAATAACAAAATATAATGCAGTGTGCTTGTTTAAAAGGTCTGATAAGCCAGTAGATACCCTTGTCAGGTCTTTGTTGAGTTATTTATACTTTATCTGGTCAATTTTTTATTTACTGTTCTGTTTTTGGGGGGCTTTGCTTCCTTGACTGCTTTTTAGAGCTCAGCATTATTTTGTAAATATAATTTTTAGTTTAGAATAAAAAAACATGTTTTTCTTGTATGTCTTTTGAAACCTACTTTACATCTGAAAAAGATCACAGTTATTATGAAGTTGAGCTAGAAAATACAACAAGGATTTAATATTAAATTGTGTTTTCTTTTCTTTACATATTTTCCTAATGCTTCAGAAGATTTCATTGATCCAGATAATCTGCACAATAAAATCTATCTGAAAACTGTTTCGGACAAGGACAGAAAAGTGATTTGAGTAATAAAATCTATGCTAAAAAGAACTGGCTTTTCTGCAGAATTTTGATCCTTCTTTTTTTAAGAAGGAACAAAAAGAAGAGTATCGGCGTAAATTATGAACACTCAAAAAATTACAATCTCTTCAATGGACAGAGGAGATTCTGTTTGATGGCTGATGTTCTTGATAACGTACTTCATGTATAATCCCAAAAGATGTGAAAGCCTTCAAACAAATATAACACATTATAACATTTGATCTGAATGGTTCATTCTCAGTGTTTGGAAAATTCTCTGTATTTTATCTATTTGAAGATCACAGCATCAATTCACAAATTCAAGGCTAACCCAGTTTTGAATTGTTTCATCGCAGGCACTTTAGCATGGAAGCAATCTAGGTCTGAATCTTTTGCCACTTTCATATATTTTTCAGATCCTGGATCAGGTAATTGCTGAATTTTCCTTTAAAGATCAACTTTCAGATATTTTCAGTTTCATAGTTTCTTTAGCCTAAAAGATATTTTTCATTTATTGACCTCCTTTCTTTTTTATGCAATTAAAGTATAGCCTATTTGTTCATCAAATACAATAAAAAGCTTTAACAAACCAAAACGTCTAGAGAGCTGTTAATCAAATACAAAACTTAAAGAAAGTTGGATTCTTTGCATGAAAAGCAGCCATAAATTAGAGGTATGGATAGTTATTGTAATGCAATTGGTATAATGTTAGCAGCGCCTTTTTTTTTTGCCAGAGAAGCATGATTAGACTGCCTTCTTTACGAAGCATCTTGTGTCTTTTTCTCTTCATTTATTCCTGTTTAATATTTTAGAGGTCACTTAGAGCTCTTTTGTGTGTGCAGACGTTTGTGTGCATGAGTTTTTTTCTCCTGCATGTGTCCCCTGACACCTGTAGTCTCTCAGGGTGTGAGGAACAGACAGAGGCCAGAGCCGCAGTCACAGGTCTCAGACCATTGGGGTGTGAAATGAATCGCAGAGCCAACATACTCTGCCCCTGCTGCACACACTTGAAATCACTGCGAGGCTGTTTTTGTGGGCCCTACGAGAGTGAGGGAATAAAGGGTAGTGCCGAGGACGGACTCAGAAAAGAGGAGGGATGAGAAACTGTCATGCACTGTGGTTTTTCAGCAGCATTAAAAGCACCCTCAGTAAATGGAGCTTGTATAAATATTCATGACTGCTGGAACACTTTCTTGTGAGCAGTGGTGTTTGGAGTAATTGTTATTTTGTTTCAATGATGCCCTTTAGTTTAAGACCTCAAAGCTGTTGAAGAGCAGTGCCCAAAGCATGCAGAGCCCTACAAGCTCATGGTTTGCATCACTTAAGTTACTGTTGGCTGTTTATTTATTCAGCATTTGGATGGTTGTCTGAATCAACTAATACACAAAAAATATTCAGCGCTGCATTTTTATGGGTAAATTCAAATGATTCCAGACAAAATTCAAATTTCAGCTGAAATTATTCCTTATGAGGCAGTAAGCAAGAAATGATCAAAGAAAAAATAAGTGTACATAGTGTCAATGAAAAAAACTGCTTCAACATTAGAGGATGAGCTGCGAGTAAACAGAACAACTAGGTAACCATCCAAGAGGCCTTGCTAATCACTGAGCAATGCAGAGTCAACACACTGTAAAAATAAAAAAACAGCTTTCTTTCATTGGCTGATATATTAGTTTTAGTTTTGAAAACAGGAGAGCTAGGACTGACATATCAGGAACAATAATTTTAGTCAGTTCAGGAAACCCAGGCGTTTTTTGTTTTTTTTTTCATTACAAAATGAGCTGTCAGATCTTAGACTTTAAGTTGTAGATCATTTCAGCCTCTAAAAGTTCTACTTACTTTCATAAATTGTTGTGAAATGTCGAAAAAAAAAGTATTTTTGAGTTGGCTTTTTGAATTAAAGGCTGAATGTTGTTAAACTGTCCGTTTTAGCATGACCAATACCTGACTAAAAGACGCATGAAACATTGTTGCATTTTTTTGTACATTGGCAATAGACTCATTTATTTTTCATTTCTTATTAAAGTTGATTTATTTAAAGACAGAAAGGCTGGGTTGAAATGCAAAGGATTAATTTAAAAAAAATATTTTACCGTAAATAAGACATTTTCAGATTTTTTTCTACATTACATTTCCTAAGTCACCGCCACTTTTATATAAATTGGAACAATATATGATATGAAGTTACAGAATTCAATGTTTGGCAAACACGAAAGCATAAATTAAATGGTTAAGTTGAGGTTTAAAACTTAAGATTCTCCTGACATTTGCCTAGTTAAAACATCATCATTATTTTACTATTTAGCGTTGTTCTTATACAGGAAAATAAATATAAAGAGATTACATATAACAGCTCCATCAAGGGCTTTTGCTGAGACATAATCACATTGAGGCAATAAGCAGATCTGAAGGGAAAAATACCATAATAAACAAAGTTAATGGCAGAAATTGGCTTCAGGCACAGATTTAGCTAAACACAGCAAGACTAATCCAGAAGTCATGTCAATGACAAAATAAAACCTAAAAAATGAGTTAATAAAAATATTGACAAATAAAAAAGATCTAAATGATTAAAAAAGAAAAAGAAATACTAATATGAGATGTAACAATTTAATTCAGTTTATTTATATGGCGCCAATTCACAAAACGTCATCTCAAGGCATTTTACAATTCACCAGATCATACAGTTAAATTGATTCAAAGTTTTCTATTAGAGGAAAACCAGTTGATTGCATCCGCTCATTGACATGAAGGCAATCTCTCACACTAAGCATGCTTGTAGCAACAGTGGAGAGGAAAATATCCCTTTTAGCAGGAAGAAACCTCCAGCAGAACCAGACTCAGTGTGAGCGGCCATCTGCCAAGGCAGACGAGCTCCGAGCCAGCTCCCATGTCAGAGAATGAAAGAGAGTACATCAGTTACTCACAATGAGAGAAAAAGGACTACACTGAAAAACAGGCCATTCTCAAACATCTGTAAACAAAGGTGTTGATGGCAGCAGCACAGCTGATATTTATCCCCTGAATGTTACAAACAAACAGGAACAGACCAGATGAATCTACTATGAGAAAAAGCAGAGAGAGCATATCGTAAGAGATTGAACTAATAAATTCTGTAGAGTGAGAGAATAGAGGTAGAATGAAGCAGAATGATGAAAAAGGGGTCCCTATGTGCTCCAGTTGTCTAAGCCTATAGCAGCATAACTACAGGAATAGCTCAGGATAACCTGAGTGACTCTAGCTATAAGCTTTATCAAAAAGGAAACTTTAACAGTGTCAGATTGTTGAACCATGTCTGAAATTTTTGCATCTAAACCACTTTTTCATGCAAACTATATACATGCATAGAATAAGGTTTAGTATAATTTATATATATATAAAAAAAAAAAACAACTTTTTTTTTTATTTCATCTTATAGAAGAGGGTGTCCTTTTCAAACCTTTAAGGATCGCTGACTATCTTTTTTTCAATAAAGCCCAGGTACAGAACAGCTGAGCCAAGTAGTTGAATTACCCCATCAGCAGGTTATCAGGTTCCACAGGTGCATCGTTTGATTTGGATGCAATGAACCAGGGCCAGATCTACTGCATGAATGATTCCACTCCCTAATGGCTGACTTTTGAGAGCTTTACAGAAGCCAGTTTTTTCCTTTCCTATACTCTACTGCATTAATGTGATTTTTACTTAATCAAAACTTTTAAGGTAGCGCGTTGCAACTGTGGGAAAACATTCAAGCAAACTAGGGGGGATCAACGGAAACCCTTTCTGCTCTCTGATTGGCTAAAACCGCTGCTGATCATTCGGAGCACCGCCCATAGACGCACAGCGGCAGCGCTGCTTTTCCTTTTTTTTTTAAACCCCCACAATGATATTCAAGGCACTTGCGACTCGCCTGTGACTGTAGAAAAGGGGGGAAAGCACCAAGAAAAAATAGAGAGAGAACCTCACCTCCTCTCACAGCGAGTGAGGTAGGACTGAGGTAGGGAGCAAGAGGCTGTGGAGTTAAGAGAGAGGCAGCAGCGGCGGCTCCAGTGAGGAGTGTCTAATTGCGCTTTATTAGAAAGAGTCATTTCAACACATATTTCGACATGTCATCGTCCGGGAAAGACAACAGCGGCGCCCAACACGCCAATTACGTGGGACCTTATCGTTTGGAGAAGACGCTCGGAAAAGGACAGACAGGTTAGTTGGGACAGCTGTCTCTTTAATTGCGCTATTTGTTTTCAACGCGCTCCGCAGGCGAGTTGAAATGTGTTTGAAAGAAAACTACATGCTTTAGTTATGATACACCTGTCCCTTTATTTTAAGACATTAGTGTGGTTTGGTTATTTATCAGCAGTGGAATTTTGACATAATCATTGTTTACGCAGTGGGATGAGGAGGGATTTGTGTCTGGTGATGCTTTTCTTTACACGGGTTTCCATGTTTGTGCGTCGGCGTTGGACCGAATCTGCGTGAAAAGCTTCCAACAACAGACATGACAGCAAGATGGGCAGAGAAAATCAACTTTTTTCAAAAAAATAAAAAAAAATCTGTGCGTGTGTGCGTGTTTTTATCTGGGACGGCTCCTCCTGCCTGTTTGCGCACCCGGTTAATGTCCTGTGATTGGAGCGCAACGCAGTTAATCCCGATTTGCCTGATAGATTGATCTATTCTTAGTCCGCAGGCACGCAAGGAGAGAGAGAGACAGGCGTTTCTCTCACAGGCAGAGACTGCAATTCGGAGCCGAACATCCCACCTTGGCACAACACCTTGCAGAGCCACACTAATCTATATTCATACACCCCAGGGGATTCAATCGGGCTTCCTGACTGAGAAACGCATGCTTTCTGTCAAGCCTGCACAGCAGTGACAGTGCATTTTCTAAAGTTGCGTATAACACATGTCCTGTACAGTCAGTGTTAGATGAGGATGCCCTGGGTGCAGTAGCTGGTAATATTCCCCGCTCTCTGAGGGGATGCTTGTGTTTAGCTCCAGCACTTGTGACTGGACAGCAATAATGCCCTGTGGTCAAATGCATGCAGCAGAACCATGTGAAAGGAGAGGCAGGTACAGCCCTGCCTGCATGGCTGTGTGTAAGCAGAAAATAGCAGGGCTGATTGCAGCACTTTTTCTTTAAAAATCACCATCCTTTAAAAATGAAGGGAAAGAGTTGAACTTCTCTGCATCTGTGGGTAGATTATACTCCAATCTGTAGTTTAAAATAGCTACAATAGCTGTTACTTAACCCAGCTCTGTCCAGCTGGTCATGCTGAGCTGCCATGTGTATAAATGTTTTTGTCCAGTCCTAAACTGTGCGCTTTCCTCCAAATATTCTCTTATTTAATTCACCTGATCCACAGCTCACTGTTCAGTAATGGCCATTGTTAATGCAGTGTGTTTTGTTGTGTGTGTGTGTGTGTGTGTTTTATTTTTTAGATAATGCCTTAGTTGCTTTATGCAACAGCTGTGTGTGCTTTTCTCTAAATGTATGCACATTTAATGGGAAGCGTGGTTGGTTTGGGGGTGTATACTCTCTGTTATGGTGTTATTCAATGCTCAACAGTGGAAGTAGGCAAGGCCTTTCATCTGATATTAGGGAAAAAAATTATGGCTGCAAAGTATGGAAAAAATCCTTCAGACAATTCTCAGTTACAAAGTTTTGTAGTTGTTTAGTGAAGGGCTGTGCTCTCCTCCCCAACCTGTTGTTCAGTCAGCTGATTGCAAAAAGGCTTCTTCTGTTTTCCACAGCCTATAAGAAGAATTGTCATCAGAGCAGCTGCAACTTTAGGGGTACAAAGTGTGTGGCAGCATCTTGATAGATGCAAGCATCTGAATGTGGTTCAGACAACTTGCTGAAGTTCAAACAAATCATCAGGACAAGGTTATGAATGTGGCATTATTGTTGATTTTTAGAAACTTTTGATCAACTAGGATTTCCAAACACTCATGCACTGAGGTGCAGTTGTGTAGATAAAGAAAATATCTTGTTGATGTTGCAGAAGAATGGAGGATGCATGTCCCCCACAAACAAATACCACAACAAAGATATGAAATACCTTTTCTAAATGCAAAATATGAAAACGATGTACCTAACCTAATAAGTATCCATTGCAGCTTAGCTAGCTGTTGAATTTGGTTGAGAGAAAACAACTAAGAAAGACTCTATCAAAGCATGGATCTATCGTGCCTTTGATATTGTTAAGGCTGATGATGACCGTAAAAGCTACAGCCTAGCTTTGTCATAAATGGTATTTGTCTCTTTCTGTGTATCTATATTCTGGTGGTTTTCCTAAAACAGGATATTGTATCATGTCACAAAAATTGAATCATAAAAAGATTTTTATTTATTTTTTTGTTAATTTGATCGTAAATTCACTGTACTACAGTATAAGGCCTTCAATGACACCAAATTTCCACCCAGTACTGCAAGTGTGGCATGTGTTGGAACAGGGGACTTACAAAACTAATGTGCAGCTGACAAAATTGCTGCAAAAAATAAATGACACTATCATGCCTATATTGATCAACATTTTAAAGAATATTCCCTTTCTTGAATTAATGCCATAAAGAAAAAAAGGTAGGTCTTAATAAAAAAAACAAACAATCAAAACAACAGCTGAAATCATGCTAACTTTGTTTTAATTTTCATTTCCAGTCTTGCTTAACTTTGTATTTAAATTTAACAATAACAAAAATTGGATGAAAAGTTGGATGAAGTCCTACACTGGTATCTTTACTTAAAGTCATAATGTTTTATGTTTTTTTTCCTTCAACCCCCCCTCTGTTTTATTTAGCTTTTCCTGTTTTTCACAGGAGGAGCTCTGTCAGTCTTGTCTTGCTTTCTGATTGCCCACTGCAGCGTCCCTAATGGGTGTTTGTGCTAGTATCGAGCTGGTATCGTCTGTTTGGTACAGACGTTTAATTATGTGGTGTCACTGAGATCATCGTTCCTGTTCATGGAATACCTAAGACCAGCTCTGATGGATTATTTTTTATTTTTATTTTATATATTTCTGTAAGAATACAGGCCACTGGTCAGCCACACTTTTTTATTTAAACCTTTTAGAGAGCTCCAGGACACTTAGGAGACTCACTTTCACTCAGAACCAGGGTTTCCAGCTATTTGTTTCTCCTTTGTATATTTAAACCACAGCACCATCCAACTGTTATGTTGAGAAAAAAAATGGTAATTGGCATCTGACTTGTATAACCATGCCAGTATTCACATTAAAGACTGTGTCTAACATCCATTTGCCTGTTAACCATTTGTTGAACCGTTAGATCTTTTTCCCAGGCCCCCATGAAAAAGGTTGGCCTGGCAACTGTCAGTGCCCAATGGGCCTGGCCCGATCATGACTGGCAGCAGGGACTGTCCAGTGAGCTAAATCCTTTGTGAGGATTCCCGAGCCAGGGTTGGCTTGTATTAAGAGAGGAGGGAGAGAGGAAGACTTCTTCTTGATCTGGCTCTTCAACTCAGGAGTTGTGCTGGTTCTTTATCATTAAGTGATTAGAGCGTGTCCTGAGTCACACACATGGCCACCATGGGAGTTCTGAGTTGGATCCTGGTTTAATCCCCCTACACAGCTAAAATCTGCAAAGCTCTCACTCGCACTGTTCACGTGGCTCAGAGGTCACAGCCTGTGTGTTATCATAGCCTAGCACCTTACTGATTCTTTCACTGGTACAGCAAATAACAATTTACTGTTTCTTAATTAATAAATGCATGCCATGAATGCAAGGACCTCATTGCAAATCCTTGTCTAATTGTTTTGAGCAAGTTTTTTTTTTAAAGTGCGACCACATTTTCCCTTTAGTTTCTGCAGAGTAATTTGTGTGACTTCTCCTTTGTCAGGTGAGCATTCAGGCCTGAAAAGGTCTGTAGATATGAAGTGTCTGCATGGCTGCCTACTGATTGGCACCACAGCTGCAGAAGAATAAGGCTTGTGTTTCTGTGGTTGATTGGTAGAACCTGGTCAATACTGTGCTTCTATGCCATATATTTTGTGCAGGATTTCTGTTGTGTATGGCAAGGGAATACATCAAAACCTTTCACTGTCCTTTAAAGCAAATAACCTGTATGTTGCTTTTAACAGGGAGGCCGTCTTTAAATGTAGTGCTAACCTAAACACTTTGTTGACCCATCTTGGGTCCATCCATCTTGGATATATACTGAAAGTCTTTTAAGAAAAAAATACTTTTTTGTTGAGTACACATTTGAGTTTCTGCAGGCCTGTTTTTTGTTGCATTAAACCTAAAACTATTACAAAAATCCACATCATAAGACCAAATATAGCTGATTCTAATGCTTTTTTTATGCTACAGTGATCCTAATGTCCAAAATGAACTTTTTTTTTACTCTAGCAGTATCTAAAATGTTTCCATCAGAACTGAATGTAATTCAATAATGTGAGAATATCCTGATTATAACTTGCTATAATAAAATATGTAGTGATACAAATGTGTTTGATTTAAATCAACAGGAGGGCAAACACATTTAGATCCAAGTCAAAGACGACGCAAGCACTGTAAACGCATAATGCAGTTAGAAAATTAAAGTTTCTTTGTTATAAAGGGAGATAAAGCTACATTTTCCTGTGTGGTTAAAAAGTGATCGCCCTCCTAACAATTACATGTTGAGCCTCCCTCAGCAGCAATCAAGTGTTTGCGATTACTTGAAATGAGCCATTTATAGCACTGTGGTGGAATTCCGGTCCACTCAGCTTTGCATAATTTGTTGTAATTCATCCCAAATGGATAGTTTTAGTGCATAAACGTTTAAAATTCATGCCAGACTATGTTAATAGAATTTATGTCAGGACTTTGACTAGGACACTACGAAGTCCTCAGTTTGTTTGTTCTTAGCCTTTCGAAGGTGGACATTGGAGATGGGTCTTAATGTTGTTTTTGCTTAGCTGTGGTTTTTAATCTTGGCACTCTGCCATGCAGGCTATTTTTGTTCTCTCTTGTTCTCATGATGAAGACATGAACACTGACCTTAACTGAACCAAGTGAGCCCTACAGTTTTGTGGATTTTTTTGGGGCCTTTTGTGACCTCTCTGAGATGCCGCTGCACTTCTGGAGTAATTTTGGTTGGCCGGCATCTGCTTGGAAGAATCACAACTTTCCTAGGTTATTCACCTTTTGTGGATCATGTCTCTTACTGTGGGGCACCAGTGTTCCAAACTCTAAAAAATCACTTC